ACTCTTTGTGTGATGTAGATTAAGTTAACTATATTAAATTATATAAATATAAAAAGCATACAGAAGCATTTTTGCCGTCTACAATTTAGAATGCCTTGAATTTTGAGTTTTAATAGACTAATAAATCAACGTGCGTGCACTCTTGTGTGTGATTTGGTGATATAGCCTACTAGATAATGTCAGATCGTAAATCATTACAACAACACTTACCATATTATCGCAGACGATGCTGTATCGCACACCCCAGACTCGACTTGAGTAGAAAATGAAATCATCTGTGGTTATGAGCAAAGGTGTTTTTAGGAGTCTAACTTGCAGACACCAGACCACTGATTCATAAACCTGCTTTCCTGCAGTCCGTGTTTTTCTGACTTCTGACTATTTTGTAGTAAGTAACGAATATGCTTCGGGGAAATGTATCGGAGTAAAAGTATACATTTTAATTAGGAAATGTAGTGGAGTAAAAGTAAAAGCTGGCTGAAATATAAAAACTCAAGTAAAGTACAGATACTCCCAAAAAATACTTAAGTACTGTAACGAAGTATTATTACTTCTTTACATTACACCACTGGGGCCAAGCGCCTGAAACTGACAAGGTTCGCGGTACAGCACAAGACCAAACGCGACTTCAGCACGTCTCAACACAGTAAACAAAACACAATTTCCTAACAACTGCGCTAAAAATTAATGAGACAAGAAATAAATGCACTTACTTTTTCAGAGGTAACATTAGTGATACATGTCTTTTGCAAGAATATTCAATGGCCTCATAAACCTGATAATTAATAGAAATGTAGCTCATAGTACAGTTAATGGTTAATTTCTACTCTTGTAAGATAGAGTTTTTCTTTTTTAATATTGTTATATTCTTTCTCTATTGTCTCAACTTAATCTCAGTAATAGTCTGTACATTTCTAAACAATATTCACATTTTATATTGCAGTACTTTCTGTTAATGTGTTAAAAGAATAGTTGACCCCCCAAAAAAAATTTCTCTAGACTTAATGTCATTGAACGTATTTTAAAAAAGTTCAAGGATATACACTTAATCTCAAAACAAAGCACTGTGAACATTGCATACATTGTCGGTAGCAACAGCAAGGCAATGATGAGTCGTTTCAAGCTCCCACTCTAGTATTTAAATTCTTTTGACTATGTTATAGTGTGTGAATCAAAATCTGGATGAGTCTGAAGCACAAAACCTTTGATTTCCCACTCAGTGGTGATTGAGTGGTGAACACATTATCACTACACTCTGCCTTTTTCAAGACCTTCCATCAAATTTGCATTAGCTTTGTGGTACAGGGCTCAAATTACCATTTAACTAAAGTACAGGCATAATGGGATATATTACTACCTTAAAGTCCCCATGAAATCAAAATGAACATTTTTTGGGTGTTAGTATCAATATGTTAGTCTTAAGGTTATCTATAAGGCAGTGTGCTCCAAAACAGTGACAAAATTCGCATTTAGAAGATATAAGCATTCAAAGCTACTTGTCCACAGAATTAGTATTTTCTGTACAGTGAATGGCACGTAGTGCTCTATATAGGGGACAGAGATCGATTCAAACAGTGTAAATATGCTTTCCATTTAGGAAAAAAATAAGTCTGGTTTCATGCTGCCACGCTAACCACGGCACCGCACACACACTCTGGTCCGGTCCAGAGACACGATAGCACGGAGCGGATCACATGCGCGAGTCGGCGCAGACCACAAAATGTATCGGAGCTATTTGAATTCTACACAGCATGCTATATTTTATAGCAATATGGATGAGATTGTGGCTGGCATACCCTGTCAAATGCGGCTTTACGGAGCTCAACGGCTCTGAACGGCTCTAGCCCAAGCTGTGATATAAACGAAGGCTATTGGCTATTTTAAAAAGGGGCAGGGCTGCTTGATATGTCCCGCCCTGTCTTCCTGTTTCAGTTAAAATGACGTCAACACAGAGTAACGCTGCGTGTTTCTAAGCATTTCAGGGGACCTTTAAGGCCGGGATACACCAAGCCAACTTCAAAGAACTAGCGGCGACGAAAGCCGACGGTGTTGTCGCCTCACGTCGGACCAACAATCAGCGCTCAAACACACCGCACAGACTGTGCACTAAACTGAACATTCAATCAGAGCTCTCACTCGCGCCGACGGCCGATTCAACATGTTGACGACGTGAGCCCGACGAGTGGAACACACCAAACAAACTAGCCCAACCGTCGCTTGCTGTCAGCCCGACGTTGGCCAACGGCCGACCGTCGGCTTGGTGTGTCCCGGCCTTTAACCAGATGTGAAATCCACATTGTCGACCACATAAAATGGATCAAATCATGCTGCACTGATCAATGCATTATTGCATTTTGTTTTACAATATGTACATGTCTGTATCCAAACCAGCATGCAGGTTACTTTTTATAATGTACAAACACATTTATGAATACTTGTTTTTATTTATTTATTTTTGTGTTGTGTGTGGTTTTTAAACTACTTATGAAAGGGAAGATATTTTTATATTTCCTGGTGGCAATGGCCAGCTTTGCCACCCCTTCTAATCAGCTGAGCTCTTTAAAGAGCAAAGTATGACTACAGAGCAAAGTGACTCTACAGAGCAAACTAAAGACAGGATTTCTTTCTGGTAAAACAAGTGTGGCAGTAAGTGGTCAGGTGCTTAGAAAATTACCAATAATAAGAGAAATCCTATAGTCGACTACGCCACCCGGAATACACCAGGACATAACAGCCCTAAACAAAGGGACACAGGTTCGTTGCCAAAGGCAGGGTGAGCATAATAATAATAATAATAATAAATCAACAATAATAATAATAATAATAATAAACAAGTCATACCCTGCAACCGCATACCTTGACGGAACATTGCAGCTACAGCAAAGCTGGGAACACACCTTATGACAACGTTGGGACACATTACAAAACTCAGCACCTGCAATTCAGAGGTTAACTCTGAGAGAAAGGTACAACAATGATAGCAATGCTGCACTGGGGCATTTACCACAGGAGGACCAATTCCATGATTAAGAACCACGAACACGAGGGGTATAGCGACACTTCCTGGCCTATGACCCAGCCACAAGTTCCAAAAAGCTTATCCAATTAGACTCGCTGCAATTTCGACAGTTCCCTTGACGGGCCTAGCTCTACCCGGGCACCATGGGCCTCTAACAACATTCTCCCTTGCGCCCCATACTACATGACATATAAAAGGAGCACCTCTTCCAATTACCACTCACCAATTGTGGATTGGCCCATCCAAGGAGACTCACACATACAAAAGGACCTGCAGTGCTGCTCTGCCTCGAAAAGGACACAACATGCAATACAATCCCCTGCAAAATATAAAGTCAAAATGCCTTTCTCACGTCTGCAAGAAAGGAAAACAAAAGCTCACCCTGAACTATGGCGACCCTGCCAACTACGCCAAATGTGGCAGTAAGTGGTCAGGTGCTTAGAAAATTACCAATAATAAGAGAAATCCTATAATCGACTACGCCACCCGGAACATAACAGCCCTAAGCAAAGGGACACAGGTTTGTTGCCAAAGGCAAGGTGAGCATAAGGATAGACAGATATAAACAAAAATCACTTTATTACCATACAATTAATAAAAACACATGCTACACTTCACAAGGTCTCAATACATCACACGTCTTTACCAGTAACTTACAAAACAAGTACAATACAATAAGATAACAAAATAAAGAGGGAGGTGGCCAGCAAAGACCCTCAGATTTCTACCCCACTTTGGTAAAATAATTAACATTTTGCAGATACTGCAAAGTGTATGTAAACTTTTGACCACAACTGTACATACAAAATCTATTTTATAATCATATCATTTACATGTTTTGATGTACTATGATTTTTGTATAGGTCAATTTCAGATTCGGAAACAAGAATGTCCCACACAGTCGTCATCCAGATTCAACCACCAACACCAGCTGGGACTGGGACAAATGCTCCTGTGCCTGTTTATGTCCAACAGGTAGCAGGAGTTTCTCCTCTTCATGGACTACAGGCATGTCTGAAAGGCCAACCAAAAGCCCTTGGGGTAAGACATTTTTCATAAATCTAAATAGACTTTTATGCGTGTGCATGTGTACATGAATAAATTCTTTAAAAAAAGGAATGGTACACAAAGCATACACAATGTTTTTATTGCATAATGTGACTTATTTCCTTGATGACAATGCAATATAAGATGATGAAGACCAAAAGATGATAAGGTTTATCAGTTACAGATTAAAATTTATGGTGTACCAATCACATAGAAGTCATAGAGAAGAATGTTTTAGGAGTTGAAAACTATCAAAAAATGTGAAGTAATTGGCAAATTTTGCACATTCGCACACATTTGCACATTTCTTATTGATCCCCAAAATTTGAAACTGTTTTACTTTATAAAAGTCATTTTTCTTGTCCCTCACAGACAGTCCAGGTAATGATTGGTCTGTTGACTTTCCTGCTTGGGATCGTGTCTGCACTTCATGCGGAATCCATATCTGTCTTTAGTGGTATTCCTTACTGGGGGTCGCTCATTGTAAGAGACAATTATACTATTAAGCATCTTTTATAATTCAAGCTACATTTCCCAACAGAAGCCTCCATTTTGGCCTTTCTCTCTCCTCTCAGTACATTATTGCAGACTCACTCTGCATTGCTGCCGAAAACAAACTTAATTCACCCTCTGGTTTGTGTTTGGTATGTACACAACACTTATTACTTTTAGGAATCTAAGCTGCCCAACACTGGCAGGTGACTTTATAATATGTCTTGCATTTTCGTGTAATGGCTAGAAACAGTTTTTTCCCCACATGAGCCATTGGTGCTTTGAACCTGATGATTGATGCATGTGGTTTATTCTTTCTTTTTTATGTCATGTAGCATTCACATTGAATGTTTAGCAATCACAATAAGATCACTGTGTGGACAGTACACTTGTCAAAAGTAAATGCATATGTTCAGTCTTTTTTCCCAATATTTCAGAAATGGTTTATAGATATCTTACTATTATTGATCATTTATAATGCAAGAAGGCATTGGCAAAGATCATTTAAAGTCATTATTGTGTTACATGAGAAAAGCATTGAATAGACACTATAAAAAGTAACTTTAGAAAGAAATATTTTGATTCAACATTGCATAAATAATGATAATAAATGGGTATTAATGTTACTCTAAATATAAAAATAAAACCTTCAGTAGGTGGTGGCAAGTCACAGCCATAATGAGTGAATCATTCAGTTATTCATTCAAACAAGTGGCTGATTTATTCAGAAAGAAACCAAGTTAATGTCTTTATTAATGGCTCACAGAATCATTGACACACTCGATTCAAAACCACAGATTCATTCAGTAACGAAACGCCGCTGTGTGTTGCTCGGAGATGTACAACAGTTTTCTGTTTGTAACTATTTAGTTTGCGAAACGGAGCAAAAAAGATAACATTGAGACTAAAATGTAACACAATATGAACTTCTTGTTTATTAAACTTGAAAAAATAAGTTTGCTTCAATAGCAGAGTCTCATTTAAGCATATTGCTGGTTAGGTTTGAAACCCGCCACAGGGTGAGAGACTTGGTCAAGGATGGTTAAAATATGGGAGTAACCCATTTATTTGTCACCACAACAACTCAGTGATTAACAAGGGTTTGATCAGTTGTCCTTAGTTGTGGGTGTACAAAAGTGTGTGGTTTTTCAAAAAAAAAACAAAAGAAAAAGGTAGAGTAAATATAAATATACATGATGAATATTCAACAAAGTACACAATTGGACAGATTAATAAATAGAAGAAAACAAACTTGCTATGCCATGTACATTAAATTAAACAGTAAACCTCTTTATCAGTCGCATATCATATCAGCGGTACCCTGTCTGGACACGTTCTGCACACATTTAGAATATCTCAGAAACAAGCACTTAGTGAATAAATTACACAGAAGTACAAATGAAATGTACATTCAATTTAATTCAATTCAAGTTTATTTGTATAGCGCTTTTTACGATACAAATCGTTGCAAAGCAACTTTACAGCAAATTAAGTTTCTACAATATTTAGTGGTAGCTTATCAGTGGTGACTGTCAGTTAATGTACATATGGCAGAAATGTACGGAAAAATCAATTAAAGACGTAATCAAACAGACGATGAACACTATTAACAGCAATTAACAGTTAACAATTAACTATTAACAGTACATTAATAACATCAATATAAACAACTATAAAGTAAGGTAATATATATATATATAGTGGCGAGCGGTGACTTTTTTAACCGGGTATGCTGAGTGACCCCCAAACCAGGACACTCAAAAGGGATCACAGATGACAAATAGCTAAGAAACACCGTGGCAGGTGTCTATATAAAAGTATGCACATTTCCTACCTTATTTGTAAATGAAATTCATCTCCAATCCTTCTTCTATCGTTTCAAGTTTATCCATTATTCGAATGCAAGAAAAATATACGTTTTACATGTAGTTACGTTATGATACGTAATCAGAGGGTGGGGAGATGGGGGGGATTCCCCTCATCTATATGTCTCTCTGCATCAGCTAAATAATTTTTTTATTCATAATGAATAGGAGTTAAAACTCCCAGCCGGGTGACACTC